ATGTCGTACAGCTTCGTGTCGACCACGTTCGCCATGGCGGCCGGCCGGGCAGCGCGCAGGCAGGAAGGCGGCGGGGCGGACGGAGCGGAGACTCTCCCTCAGCGGCGGAGGCTGCAGCGCAGGCCGCGGAGACGGCGAGAGGGAAGCGGGGGCGGAGCTACACTTTGACCCCGCGCACGGCGCGCCGTGACGTCTGTGCGGAGCCCGGCCCCCAGAGCGCGGCCGCGGCCGCTGGGGGTCTTGGGGGTTCCGGGAGCGCGCGCGGCGTGCCGGCTTCTCTTCGGGTCTCCGCCGCCGGGCGTCCGGCGCTCTCCGGGAAGTCAGCTCTCTCCGACAGGCGTGAACGGGGGGTGCCGTGGGGGCGCAGAGGCCGCCCTCTCGGTCAGCTTCGCGGCCGGCTGCGGTCAGCTCGGTCCGGGCTCCCGCAGGAGGCCCTGGCTCGCGGAGGCGAGCCGCACCTGGGGTGGGGTGGGTGGGGGTGTCGTGTGCGTTTCATATGGGGGAATTAACAAACATTCCCCCGAAACAGTCAGTTACACCCAAGAGCCCAGCAGTCGCATGTCACCAGCTTTGTTTCAGGGATCCCTCGTCCTCCCTAACCCCCAGGCCACCTTCAGATGGTCACGATTGTCTCAGGTCCTTGCACGGTTGGTTTGTGGCATCGGGGGCCAAGCGAAGGTCCGCCTGTTGCACCTCTAACTTGAGAGCTTGAAAAGGAGCTGACACCAGAGGTCTTGCGGGTGTGAGGCAGCCTGGCTGGGCGCAGCCACCGGGCAGTGGGTGCCCGCTGACTTACACGGGCATCAGAAGGCGTTTGCCACGTGCCTGCCGCGGGGCTGCTGTGGACGGTCGCCTGGGCGGGACAGAAGAGTCAGCCTGCCCTCGACCCACGGACGATGTGCGGACCCGGGAAAATCAGGCGTTCCGATCCTTGGGAACCTGAACTGGCGGTGGAGACTCCAGCGTGAGCGTCTCAGCATAACCTCTCCTGTGGGGCATTCCTGCAGACCTAGGGCCTTGCTACCCGGCCAAGGAGTCGGAGCTGCCCCGAAAGCCCTGGGGAGTAATTGTAGTGCAAGCCCCGCACGCCTTCCACCTAACTCTCCCCCTTCCCTCAAATCCTATCGCAATTCCCAGTGCTCCTCTTTCGGGGCCGGCGTCCCGGACTCCGCAACCTGGTGAACACAGCCGGGGCCTTGGCGTTCCCACGGCCCTTGGCCGTGCCCGTCGTAGGCAGGTCCGATGTGCGGTTTGAATGGTATTCTGGTGTGAGTCTGAACTCCATTAACGGGCTGTAGGTTTCGTAGGGGAAAGTCAGGGCCCCGCATGGTCTGGTTTTGAATGCATTAAAGGCCTCAATAATTTCAATTTCCCCACTTCCTTTTCACATTTTGAGACATTCCTAAGAGACAACGTAGAATGGTGCAGTTAGAGTGTGTGGGTTGGTAGCCTGCTGGCTCTGCCGTTCATTAGCAATGTGAGTTTGAGCAAGTTACTTTCCTGAGGCGTTTTCCTCATGTGTCAAGTGGGATTTAATAGAATGGATAGCATTAGCTTGTTTTGAGGATGAAAGAGTTAATAGAGTTAAAACTAAGCAAGTGTTAGCAGCTGTTTTTTGCCCATTCGCCTATAGGCCGTCTCCACATATCTGCTCATCGTCTATATTCATTTTAGTCCCGGGCTTCCCGAGCTGGAGTCCCCAGTTTCCTCAGTTGCCCATGGGGACTGCCCTCCGCTTTTCAGAGGTCTGTCCTCTGCAGATCTCCTTGCTTGCCAGTTGCTGTATGCTCTTCCTCCATCAGCTCCTGCTCCACATGAGAATAGGAACTGGAAACTATCTTTATTGCAACCTTCACACAGTTTATCTTATTTTCATCTGATTTTTCCTTCTGCCCATAAAGTATAAAAGGAGCTGGATTTTTCTATGTGTTTCAGTTTTAGTCAAAATTTTTTTTTTGTTTTTTGGCAAGGGGAAAAAAAATCCTCACGTGGTTCAATTTTAGCTTCTGAGAGTCTAGTGAAGAGTAGCTGGGTAAATTCCCTCCCTAGCTCTAGGTTGTTTTTTTACCTGACTCTAATAAACCAGTCACCAGAGTTCATATTTGTCTTTTGTTTTCATTTATTTACAGTGTTTTCTCCATTTCTGAGTGTTATTTGCAGTCAGCATTCTTAGCGGCTAATTTTACAGGTCAACGGGTTATTCCAGAGCAGGTCTATTCTGAACAGGTCTGTTCAACTGACACATGGCCTCCTCCCGGTCAGCACATGTGTCAACGTGAGCACTGCAACAGTTCAGTCCCTGATTTCATGTTTTTAAGGTCACTTATTTGTTTTAGCTCCAGATTTAGCTAACGCCATGAAGGGAACGAAACCTTTATTTCATTTCATGTCTCCGGCACCAGAAAATGCTGAGTCATAGTGTGTGTGAGGGCTGCCCTCACTAGGTCAATGATTTCAAGTTCCAGGCTGGAGTGATTTCAGATTTCTGCTGGACTCATACTGTTGTTCAATTCCTTTTGAAAAATTTGGTGTACTTGCGTAACTGTGGTGTGGGAGTGAGAAGGAGGTGCCTAGGGAGGAGGGAGGGAGTGTATGAAGTATGGTGTTTTTAAGGACATTCATACTGTTCACAACTAACTGAATACAGAGCCATGCAATCCCTTGTGTAGACAGTCCTGTATATATGATTCAGGCAGGTCAGGCAGTAGTTTGCTTCTTGCCTTTTATATAACTAGATTGGAATGTACAGAGCAGGTGATAACAGTTAAAATACTTGAAAAAAATAAATTAGAGACGCTTATTAGATATCAAGGAGAAATGTTGAGTAAGCAGTTGAGTTTCTAAGAATGGAGTTGGAAGGGGCGGCAGTCCAGCTGAAAATGTAAATTTGGCGCCTTCCCTTTCCCCCTTAATGTATTGATGGTGTATACAGAGATAAGACTGGGTAAATTCCCCTAAGATAGTTCATTCGATAACTAAACATTAGAACCCCTGGAGGAACTTTTTATAAATTCCTGTGCCTGGGGCTTTCCTCCCAGACGTCCTGATTGAATTGATCAGAAGTATGGCCGGGCACTGTATTTTTAAAAACAGTCTAAGGTGATTCTGTATTTGAAGACTTAGACTGTTTACACTTTTTAAAAGTATTGATGCTCCTTCCACCATGCTTCTCTGAACAGCCTTATATTTTTCTGTATTTTTAAAGTTGCTTCCATAGGATACATTTCTATAACATTGTTAAATATTAATATTTTTATTTTGTGAATTTCACACATGAAGAACAAATGATTTTGTTCTGGCATATGATCCTTAAAATAGTCGAAAGTTATGAATTTGCTTAATAAAATTTTCACGCCTTAGGTGTTAGAACAATTGTTATTAAACAATTGATAACATAGATTAGGAAAATCATCCAAAATCTGTACTGACATTTGTCAAGTCTTTCTCCCAGACATCGTGCTGAGAGGTCTCAATGTGGTTTAATCAGAAAAAAAGAAATTCTAGCAAAGAAAGAGCAAAAAAAATGAAAGAATACAGAAAGCTCATTCAACTCTGACTTAGTCATCAAGGTAGTCACAATTTGGGATTCCATTTCATTTTCTTATCAGTTGCCTTCTTTCTCAGTGCATTTCATTAGGTTAAAACAAATCAGTATCAAAGACACAGAAAATGGTGGTAAATAAGGACCAAGGAAACCAACTAGGAAGCTCAATTGGCAGGACCCAGGAGAGAGGAGTAAAGGTAGGCATCACAGACTAAGATGGCAACAGTGAAAGTGGACAGGAGGGAATGGATTTGGTGCAGATTTTAGAGGGAAAGCCTGGGGGTGGGATGGCTGATCCTCATTTCTGTTCCCAGATATTTCTCCCTCCTACACTTCTAAAATCATAAAGGTTTTACTCTCTAGTCCCCAGACTACATCACCTACTACACCACTTTGCATTGTCAATTTATTGGCCCCTAAGGTCACTCCCCCTTATTTCTCAAAAATTTTAGCTCTTGGCTCACTCTCTCTCCAACTCCATTACTGTCTTTATTCTTGGCTTGTAATATATGTATAAATGATCCTTCCATACATTGTGAGGACATACCATGATTCGTTTAGTCCTTTATTGATGGACGCTTGACTTATAATTAAGAATCTAGCCAGAAATGAAAATGACTTAGAAATTATTCTTTATTTCCCAACTATTAGAAAATAGGATCTAATTCTTCAGGGGCATTATACAAGGATGAATCATGTTTTGAATTTATTTTTAATAGTTTAAATTTTAAAGGAAGTTGATATAATCCAACGAAAAAATTTAATTTTCTTTAGAATGGAAGGCATTAATTTTAAATATCCTGAAATTAAAGAGCTCCCAGGGGATTATATAAAGCCAACAGCCATCAGTACCAGCATTTGCCATTTGAACTTGAAGTCATTAGCTTTCTCCTGTGATTCAGGGAAAGGTACCTCAAAATTGTAAGAACAGTAGCTTTGAATTACAGTTTCTAGGTCAACGTAATGGAGACATTACTTTAGTTGTGGTTTAGCTGTGAACTTGGCTAGCAGATTTTCCTTACTAAAGAAACAAGCTACTCAGGTCCAACTGGAAAAATACACAGAAGAAATTCAGGGGACTGTTGGCCTTGGCAATGGAAGCCCTCTTTTCCTCAAAAAGAAACCACAGTAAAACACTCTTTAGGGAGATATCCATGAGATGAAACTCACTGAA